GTACTTGGCCGGGGTACCCATTAGCAAAATCTCGGCGCTGAAACTTGCTTGGTTGACGAGTTGAAACACCCGGACAGACGAACACACACACACACACACACACACACACAAATTACACGCACATATACACACAGACAGGGTTGCCCCAATATGCGTTTTTGCAACTTGCGTGTAGTCAAAAATGCAAAAAAATTAAACAATCTCATGTAAATGTGGCTTTGTGCTCAGTCTAGCTGCAGAGTTAAATGGATGCCGACGTTGCCAAAAGTGAAATCTTACTTGTGTTTAACGCCGAAATTAGGCGAGCCTCAAAGATGGATTTAAAGTCTTCAGGTCGAACATAACACATTCTAACATGCCTTCCTCATATTTTTTTTTCCCCTTTCGGACTCAGTTTAAAAACTCTGTAGATATAAGCACGAGGCTATAATTCCAAGAAAAGCTTAAAAACTGATTTTATTTACCTACACAAACTATTCGGAGGTTAATTTCCAAAATTTACAGGCTATTTTCGATTATTGACACACAGGCACTGGATACAAAGAAAGTCACCAATATCGGATTTGTGGCTTGTACACCACTGGGCATTATATTTCTAAAATTTCGACAGCCTAAATTGCATACTTCATGAATTGTTTTGTCCCAGACAGAGATTTGCCCTTGCAACGCGCTTTTGATCCATACAAAAATGAGCAAAAAGTGAGCCGTACCACCAGCCCATACCCGAGCCAAAAAAGAAAAAAAACAATTTATTTCATGATTTATTACCGCTTTTTATAGAAAACAGTACAGGGAACAACATTTTCATTCCTACAGGATGTAAAACAAGATGAAAAAAAAAAAAATACCTGTACAAGTGAAGCCTTCGGATGAAGCAGTGAGTCGAAAACCAGCAAAGCAATTGCACGTGTACCCACCAGTTAATTCTACGCACGTCCCGTTTTCACATGGATTACTGGCGCAGTAATCAATTGCTAAAACTGTTAGACGTTAAAGCTGAAGATGGTCTCAATAATCGTGAGCTTGACTGTTGCTTTCATAAGGCTTGCGCTTATAGGTTTATTCATCCAAACGTCACTTGTTCTTTTCTTAGCTTGATGAGCTGAAAGCACATACTATTTTTGATTTTCTTTTTTCGGTCCGCCAAATGTCTTGCATGATTTTAAAAATTCAATTTTATCATTTCTTCAGCCTTCAAAAACTACTAACTTTCCGGAAGAGAGATGAATTCGATGAGTTTAAAACTAAAAATTAGCGAAATGTTCAACTATTTTAGAATAAGTTGAGACCACAGTTAAAACTAATGAGAAAGAAAGCATTTTATTTTCTGATTTTGAATCTTCTGAAAAGAAATTATTAGTACTTTCAAAAATTCATTTAATATTTTTTGACTTGTTAATTTACCATTGCAGTACGGAGCAGTGTTCCAGGAGCCAGATGTGCAAACGGGATGGACCTCCGCTGCTTTAAAACCATCGTTGCATACGAAAGTGCCCACAGTACCATCCGCATAAGACTGCTGCAGAAAATGCCCATAAGGAAATGATTTGGCATAACATCGTGGTGCTAAAACACTAGTGTTTTCATAATGAAAAATTGCAAAAGTGCTTCCCAAAAATCCTCACTGGTGCAAAAAAATGAAGTTCGACAATTTTGTAGCATGAGGTATTTTCAGCTGTGTAACAACTGAAAAGTTCCATAAATTTTTGTAAATTTTTTCTAGAGGAAACTAACACACTCGCATTTACAACCTCTGTGTCCAGGTTTTTGCCAAAGAAAGCTAACAGCTGGTCAGACATTACCAAGTTGCTTTTTGCCAAAACTCCCTTTTGGATAAGCTAAAAGTGGATTCGTAGAGTGCTCAGTGTAACAGTGGCAATACTATCACAACAAAGTTATCGGGAAATCCAGTGAGACAAACCAATAGGTTTCGTTGCCACAAATATATCTAAATAACAATATTCCTGGTTATTACGCCCTAAAGACCAATTTTTGAAGGTAGATGTTTACAAACGAACTTGCCTTGACAAGAGAAATTCGAATTGGTCCAGGTACCATCCTCGGTGCACGTTCGAAAAGGTGGTGAACTACCGTGTAATTGTAAACCAGGATCGCATGAATATTCTGCTCGACTGTACAAAAGCTTCATATGAGTATAACGAATAAGCGTAGCATTATTATAAATTGCACTAGCCGGACCACAGTTCAGTACTGTAATCAAAGTTAAGTTCAAAAGATGCAGAGCACTCAGCTGAAATTGGATTCATAAACTTGAAATTTTTTTTTGCTAATAACCAAACAAAGTGGCATTTCAGTCAGCTGACTTAGCAGATAGTCTGTAAGGCAGCAGCTGCAGGGGTTTATTTTTTTTTTTTTGTCTAGCAATGGGCTGTTTTATCTAGTAATAAGCTGATAAGATAGTAATAAGCAGGCTAGCTGCTTACACTGGCAGTGCGGTCTCGGAATCCATTGTCCATCGTTAGTGCAGACAGAAAGATATCCATCTGGGGCTCGATAGCCTAGATGACAATTGAAATATAGCTGGCTTTGTACCTCGAAGCCAGTTATGTTAATTATCGTGCCGTATGCAACTGCCGGCAGAAAACAATATTTTCCTAAACCTGGAGCAATTAACATAAATAAGTTGATGTCAGCAGCTTTTTTTTTAAATCAATTATTTCACAAAAAATAAAAAAAATTGGCTGGTACATCGACTACCGGTGCGAAGATGTTTTTTTGCATAGCCACAGGCTTTTGTTGATAATGGCACCGGTTTATCCGGCAGATGCTCCTAGCTAAAAGAATTGAGACTGGCCGTCAGGACTGTTAGGAAACAGCCCCTTAAAATTCAGTCTTCTAGCCTTCCTCGTTTCCGGGTTAGTGACTCACCCGCAAAAAATTTTCACTGGCCCGTGCATGAGAAACACGCACAACTGGGAGCAGAGATTGAAGTCACTATGAGTCCTACGTGAACCGAGAACAACCCCTAAAAATTCCAGATTTTAACATTTCTGATTCCCTAATTAGCAAATTATCCGCAAAAAAATTTCACGGGCCTATATGTGGGAACCAAGTATACCTAGGGGCTGGATTTGAACTCATTAAGACCTACGTGGTCGAGGAACTTTCCCTAAAAAATTGAGCTTTTAGCTTTTCTGGTTGATCGGTTAGCATTTCACCCCCTAAAAATTTTGGGCAGTCTGTACGTAGAGCCCACGTGGGTGAGAGCGCCCATTTTGGAGATGAGAGCCCGTACGTTCATTCAGATTAAGTTCCCAGAGTTTCAGCTCTGTAACTTTCGTAGGTCTCGAGATGAAAATGTACAGACGAATACTGACACCCCCTCGACAATATGCGTTTTTGCATCGCACAGATGCAAAAAATGCATAAAAATAAACAGTTGCTTGCATCAGCGTTGTCGATGCAGTAATATGAGTTTTTGTCTCATGTTTGAATGAATGCCGACGAGGGAACACTTGCAAATTTACTGAAGTCAAATAATTTTATGTGCTTACTGAAACTTCCCCGCCAAGCATTTACAGCTCCAGTTTTATTTTTTTGAAATGAATTGAAGCTGAAATTTTGCAGCTATTTTAAAAGCAGTTTTATAGATAGTAATTTATTTTATAGCTATTTCGCATATCTCAACTTATTTTGACATGGATTTGCTTAACTTCATTGATGACAGCGCACGCAGCTCAATTGGAAGAGGAACCTAGGGTGGCGTATGTAAAATGTAGAATACGGCTGCGTGTGACGCCCACATCTTTGACTGAATTTGTTGTACGATATGTAATTGTTACGGCGTTTCCAATAGACGTGTAATGAGCTGGATAGGTACTGTTACCACTTATTCTGAAGTGCTTCTGGATCCCATCAACAATTAGCTCATCGTCATCCGCTAGTTTTGCACTGTTTAACTGCAAATGAGTTCCAAATTTTATTCAAACATTAGCGGTGCTTTTTTTCCTGTTTCCCAGTGAGGTTCACAGCAGCAACGCAAATCGAAAATTTCTAGGTTAGAGGGAGAAAAGGGCATTTGAAGATGTTAACAAAAGGAGGGCTGTAAGAGGCTGTTAAAAAAAGAAATCCTTCTAGGAAGAACATGACAACCAATATGCCTTTTTGCACAATTTAAGCGAATAAGAACATATAATGATGAGATCACGTGCGTGTATGTGTGTGTTGCCGCTGTTATTATGCGTTTTTGTTTATATGTAAATGCATCAGTGCATACTGTGACGACCCCGGTGTATGTGTGTCTGTCCGGATATTTCAACTCGGCACCCAAGCAAGTTCTGGTGCCGAAATTTTGCCGGTGAGTTGCCCGGCCGAGTGCCACCCCAGGTCCGCGGTACCAACTCTCACGATAACGAGGAAAAAAAAGAATAGATTGATTAAAATTAAAATTACTTCTTCACCATCGGTGGTTTTCGTATTCTTCCTTTCCCGCCAGAAATAGCGGGTTCTTCTCTGCCACGCGATTTTTATTTTTGTTTGAAAATGTGCATTAGAACGGCCAATAGAAAACCACAATTTATCTTTCAGGTAGAAATATCTTTCCAGTTTGTAAACTTCACTACTTCGATAGAGAACTAAAGAAAGACAATTCTTTCTTCAAAGAAAATCAAAGATCCAAACTCCAAAGCAACATTCTTCTTCCTCGAAAAAAGCAACGAAAAATCTTAATCAGTCCATTTCCCCAATCTCCAATCAATTCATTTCCCCAATCTTCATCTCATCCCCCCACCCATCTACAACAGAGTCACCTCGTTCAGTTCGGGCTGGAGGTGGACAAAGGAAGCGCGACGAAAGTTGTTGCGCTTCCTTTGTCTACCTCAAAAGGTCAGCCTGTCACAAAGAGTCGCGAAAAAACAACTTTCGTCGAGGTCAGACCCTTTCAAATAGTCGCGAAAACAACTTTCGCGACACACGCAAGTCTGGGCCACGTGTGCGAGAGGGTGAAAGCTTTGGCGTGAAAATTACTAATTCGAAAACCAGAAAAGCCAGAAAGCTGAAATTTTGCGATTATAACTCCTGTCTACATTGAACTCAAAGATTTCATATTCAGCCCCCAGTGTGTGTGGTTTTCGCGTATGGCCCCGTAAGGGTTCCTAGCGCGAAAATCGCTAACTCGGGAACCAGGAAAGCTGGGGAGATAAAATTTTCAGAGAATTTTCCCAGCCCGTGCACGACTTAAACTCAGTCCCCGGGCGTGCGCGGCTGTCACATACGGCCCCGTGAAAGCTTTTGGCACGAAAATTGCCAACTCAAGAACCAGGAAATTTGGAAAGCTCAAATTTCAAGGAAATCTTCCCTGCCCAAATACCGCGTAGACTATTAACTTCCGGAACTTCGAGAGCCAGAACATTACATATTCCTAGCATATTACATATTTCCGAGCGATCTCATTACAGCACGAAATATTGCAAAAACGCATGATCGCATGGGTCCGCCCGGTGTGCGTCACCAAATGGTGTTCATTACGTTTTGCACTGCGATTTCGTAAATTCACTGTAATAAAATCACGTCAGAGGAAAATAAACTAATCATTGGCGACGCGCACGGGGCGGGCCCGTCCAGTTATGCGTTTTTGCAGTATCTTCTGCTGTAATGCGATCCTCGGAAACTCGTAGCCAGAAATGTGTGACATACTGGTCCTCAAATTTCGGGAAGTTTATTGTCTGCGCTATACCTGGACAGGGAACATTCTCTAAAAATTTCAGCTCTTCCCCCTTCCTTCCCCCCCCCCCCGCAAGTTTTCCTGGTTCTGGAAGTAGCTATTTACCAGCCAAAAACTTTCAAGAAGCCGTGCATGAGAACCACGCACAACAAGGGATTGAATTTAATAAATTTAATTTGTACATGGTCTGGGAACATTTCCTTAAAATCTCAAATTCCCAGATTTCCCAGTTTCCGAGTTACCCATATTCTTGCCAAAAATTTTCACGGACTGAATTTGATAAATTTAAGTTGTACATGGGCTGGGAAGATCTCGTTAAAATTTCAGCCACTCAGCTGTCGTGAATCCCAAGTTAGCGGTTTTCGCGCCAGGAACCCTCACGGGGCCGTACGCGGGAACCACGCACACCGGGGGGGGG